TGAACTGCTTGTTCCCAGTTGTTGTGAAAAGGACTGGTCTGGTCTGAAAGGTCTGGAACATTCAAGTTGCTATCACCTAGTAGACGCGCAAAAATGTAACATGTTGTGTTCGCACTGCTTGTCAACAAGTCAACAACCTACGACCTTTGGATTACTAGCTCAATGCTCTGCCAACTGAGCTACGCGGTCAGGTCGGTTCGAGTATGTGATATTTCGAACCAACCTCACCGCGTAGCTCAGTTGGCAGAGCATTGGGCTAGTATTCCAAAGGTCGTAGGTTCGATTCCCACCGTGGCCAGGCATACTTTTCAAGCTTGCCCGCGATGTGGATATACACTCAGAGTAACAGCACAAGCATCACGTCCGATACAGTCATGATATAGCAATATTGTTATACCCTTGTGTCGTCAACCTTGTAACATTGTTGTTAAATTATGATTGTATCGATATCAGACTTGTTAGAACAACCTTGTAACATTGTTGTTATATCATGACTGTATCAGACTTGTTAGAACAACATTGTACCAAGTGTGATAATGCGATCAAGCTTGTTACAAGTTGTGAACAGCTTGTTCCAAACTTGTTTAATACAGCAACTGGGAATTATCTCCATTACAGGCTTGGTGTGCTGCTGTCTGTGTAGTTTCAGAAAATCTCGACGAAGACGTAGATGGGTGTTGGTTGAGAGAGTTGGATTCAACGATGACGAGTTCCTGCTTCCTGAACAACACGACAACCGTGGCATGCAAATGAACGATTTACAAGAAGAGCGCAAGAGGCTTGCTTTGTAAAATATTTTCTATATCATATTTGTGCTTAGACTGTATTTTGAGGAAAACGACAATACGTTATTTAATTGACTGTTTTCTTTATTTTAAATTGAATTAATGATAAACTTATGTTCTCTCTGGAAGAGCAAAGATTGTTGGAAGATGCGTTGCCCAGCTCTTTATACAGATCAGTGCCCTGAGAAAATTTCGACTTTTTTACCGGTTGTCAAATGCGCGTCGGACGCACGTGCGAATCACTGAGCTATACTATATTACTGGAGGACCTGCTCGGGAAAAAAAAGTAAAGCCAAAAACATGGCGGATCTGACGCCATTGCCATGACTACTGGTCCCTAAATTCATGGCAACTACCACTGTCCCAACCGCGATCCTAAGTTTTCGA